AAAAGCTACCTGTGCAGACCTACCCGTGCTCTAATCAAGTAGTCTCTTTGGGAGAATACATAAAAGCAAAAACCATAGTTGAGGGCTCAAAAATATTTTTGATACCTATATTGGTTGTTGAGAATTAAGCTTCAAAGTTTACCTTGCAAAACTTTTCGCGGAACCTAATATATACCATATAAAAAACTTAATAAATTATAAATTACAGTATATAAAACTATATAATTAGTATCACTAAAATTATACCTATAGTAACATTATTGCACAACTTATTAAATAATAATTAATTGTATTTCAATTTTAAGCGCAATTGTTTAATTAATCAAAACTAATAACAGATTTTAATGTTCAACTAGCAAACTGATAATGCCTATTGAAAATTATAAACACTTATTAAATAAAACAGAAAATATTTATAAAATATATTCTCATTTTTTGAAATAAATATAAACAATGTCCAAAATTAGAATATACTTCATATTAAGTAGTATAACATTCCAAGTGTATTGTATTAATTTGGTAACAGGTAACAAAATTAGTAATATATATATTTGTTTCAAAATATAATACTTTTTTATTTTTTAGAAAACAAACAAGATCTAAACAAAAACCTCAAGTTTATACAAGCGTACTTTGAGTATCAAAATGAAAAGCTGTCCCAGAACATTTACCACTTACGTAACCTGGCTATGATGTCTATGCACTACGGACGTCAACAACCTGGGTCATATGTTGAAAATGAAATATATAACTATATTGTGTTCCGGTATTATCAGGATAAATCTGATAATGATTTAAAATTCATGGAAGATGGTACATTAACTAATTTCACCCCGGATATTATACTAGAAAACATAACTCAACTAGCTACAAATATGACAGAAAATGAACTTGATAAAAATGCGGATATAATGGACAGTATATTGGAGGCATTTACTGAGCTAGTACAAACATCGCGGGCATTAAATATGCAATTTATGTTAAAATGGCCTAGGACATACCTTATTGATAAAGTTGTGCCAAACCGGGTTAAACACATATCTCATTCGAATACTATAGTATTCGACAGTAACGTACTTATTGGCTATTATCAAGCTAAATTTAATGATTACGCAAGAATTGGTGAAAATCTAAGAGACTTTATCAATCATGATGATAAGCATGGCGATCCTATGGTAGGTCCTATAACAAAACCCGTTAATATGTTTTTGAATAAAAAGTTGTATAAAGAAAATACGGACAAGGGCAAACCTTATAAAGTTTATTTTATTAAAAAATAATTTTGCAGAATTAATAAAAATAAAACTATTAATGAGAATGATATAGTATTTTAATTATTTAATTAGTTTTAATTAAATTCATTTTAAAATGTTTACACGGTGTACATACGTTTTAGATCATTTGCCTCATCCCTTAGTTTATCAACATTTTTAAGTTTAAATTTTTTAAAAGATGATGCAATAGTTTTAAGAGATGTTTGAACCTGGTAGTCTAACTTAATAGCACTATTTATATTCTTATCAGGCACTGACTCATTTAATACCGAACTAATTTTCTTAAGCGATTTAGTAGCTTGCTCATTTAGATCAGCTGTTTCCAACATTGTGTTAACAATTTTTTCAATTTGACTAGGTTTATAATTTTTGATATCATTGTCTATTTGAGTAATTGGTGGGTGTGGTTGTCCAAAAAATTTTAAATCATCAGCAATTTCATTAATGAGGTTAACACGGTGTACAATTGTTGCCGTTGAAGTATCAATTAAAAAATCTTCAGATTGTTCTTGAATCAATTTCGCATAATTTTCCATGACTTTTGAAAATAATTGTGCCTTGGAATTAATAGCGTCCAGGTATAATTTTGTTTCCACATCAATACCTAGGTTAATATTAACGATATGAGTAATTTAAAAAATCTATATTATAATGTATATTTATTTTACCTGGTTTACTTTTAGATTTATTAAACGTATATGAATTGCAAAATATTAATAATAAAATAATATTAAAAATCATGATTTAATTATAAATAAAAATAGTTATTAAACTTATAATTAGAGAAAAAAATATTTTTAAAAAAGTATTATTCTTATTATAAAACAGAATTCAATATAATGTTTTCAGAAATAACAAGCAATTAATTATAGAAATATGTTTTTTGACAAAAAAGTTTTGCAATAACACAATTTTAAAAAAATATAATTCCTTTATAAAACTAGTATTTGTAAAATGTAACAATGATAATAGCTAGATAATTAATTAGATATAACATAAGTTTTTTAAAAAACAGTTCATAACTAAAAAATTAACAATTACAATCTCAATTAATGTTTTAAAATTATTTGCTTTTTAAGATTAGCTTAAACTTATACGGGAACTGTATCCACAAGTTAACTGGATCTGCCTCTAATGATCGAGGTGACTTATCAGCCAGGTCAATAGTATAATTATTGGTTAATTGCAGTAAACTGACCAAGGCCAAAAACAAATTATTCGTAGCTAACTGTTCGCCGATACACATACGACGTCCGCAACCAAATGGTATAAAAGCTGCTGGTCTTACGGTAACCAGTTTACCCTGATCATCCAAAAAGCGACCAGGGTTAAATCGATCCGGTTTATCCCAGTACTTATCATCCATTAATATAGAGTATTGTTGCAATACTACACAGGTATCTTTCGGTAGGGTATAGTTTCCTAAATTAATTAAAAAATAAATAATTGCCCTTGTTACAACCTTGATAATTTTATTTCTTACCTAATTTACATTCTTTTATAGTCGAGTGAAAGAAACCAATGGGCGTTGAGTTTCTGTATCTCAATATCTCGTAGACATAGGCCATAGTGTAATGCAATTTGTGTCTGTCATCAGTGGTTACCGGTTTATCACCTAGCTCGTTACGGATTTCATCGCGTATGTTTTGTTGCACTTCCGGGTAATAGGCCACAAATAGTAATAACCATAAAAACATGTGGGACGCATCGGAGCTGGCTACAATAAATATTGAAATTATAAATAACATGTTTGATTTTACATGTAATATTAAATATTTAAAAATAACATCAAGATATGAATAATGTAAGATATTTAAATTAAAAAATATTTTAATTTAAAAAATAAATTAAACTTCAATAACACGTTAAATATTACTTTTCATGTAATAATAACAATAATAATTTATTAATATCAACATTTTAAATAAACAACTCGCAACATTAATTATATTGTACTTTTGTCATAAAATATGCAACTGTAAATTTAATTCATAATAAACAACCAACTAACTATATAAACTCTCATATTAATGTATGGTCTGTTCAACAATGATTTTAATTTTAAAATTATTTTCGGAACTATTCAAATTGCACCAACTATGAAATTATTATTAGTTACATAAAGTTATTTTAAAACTTCAACAATAAACTTTCACTAAACATTGATATCTAAAAATTTAAAACTTAAATATATGAATTTACTTACTAATAAATAAATCAAACAGTGTTGTAGCCAGGTTAATATCGGACAAATGGTGAGCCGAGTCCTTTTCCTTAGCCTCGGCCTCGTGTTTGGCGCCGATTAATAAATCACAAAAATTTCGCACATTTTCCTTATCATAGGTTTCCT